TCAGCTGCTTGTTATATGGGTCAGAAAAGGCTTGTTTCGTGATTTATCCAGCTTATGAACCTCTGCTTTGACCTGCATTTCTAGAAGAGAGCTAATAAAAGGAAGATTAATCTGGTAAAAGAAATAGCCCTATTCCAACTGCACATATTCGTACCTAACACACGGACATAGCTGTAGCCCTGACCAACTAATGTTTCTCTTCTCTGTTATGCCCAGTTGTCTCTCAACCTTCTACAGACTCCTTTGTTTCAAGCATTTACATCAAACACCGACTCACCAGAAGGAATTTTCCTACCATTTTTAAGCCAAAATAAACCAGTAAGTTCAATTCATTTCCTCCTACGTGTCTGGGACTACCTTTGTCCACTGAAGCATGCAGATGGCACACCAAGCATTAACAGTTTTCCTTCCCTGATACTTACCAAGGAAAAGTTGCACAGGTGGCATCATTATCATGTGTCTACTTTGTTAACCAAACTATTTGGAATTCCCCTAATTCTTCCTTTGTGTTCCCCTACTTTGTCTAGCTCCTATTTCACTTTGTTCCCCTCACTTTTACATCGCTGTAACTCCCCACACTATCCTCTATTTCACATGTTCCTTTCTCCACACCATCACTCAACCACCTTTTCATTAGTCCCAGCCTATTTCTGCCTTCACACATTATTTGGACCCATCCTCACTTCAGCTCTCTTCTCCACAAGCAGGGTCACTGTTGTACTTCTAGGTAATGACAAAATTACTTTTTGTGGGCTCAAGCTTGTATTTTTTAATATTATATTCTCTCAGCAGAGAAGAGATGGAGAAACAACAGATTCTGTGTATATGTTTGTCCTGCAAATATATGGGTATTTAAACCTGCATGCACACACATGTGGTCTGGGATGCTGGAACGCTTGACAGTGTTCTTAACACAAAGTCTGCTGTCTCAGCCCACAGTCACCCCTCAAACCAGTGATTTTGCTCACTATTTCTTTGCCAGTCATTCTCACTTTGGTTCCCACATCTAGGCCCCAGACCCTATGTATCAACTCATTTCTCAAAAAAAAAAAAAAAAAAAAAAAGAAAAGAGAAACCCCAACCCAAACACCAAGAGGTCATCACTTCATAAGCTGACATAAAAAATTCAACCTTTGCCTACATCAGGGTCATGTATCTCCAACGCACAAACGCCACTTAGAATTGGAAGAAATAGGGATACTGTGCATCTATCAGAACAGAGGCTGGATGCTACTGTAGTGACGGCATCATTCATATTTAATTCTGGAAGATCTTTATTTTTTTTTTAAACCTATCAAAAGCACTTTATATCACCAAAGAATCTATATCTAGCTCATGACAAATTATAAAGTATTCCACTGTTTACTATCTCTATCTGGTAACAAGTTTGTTAGCTTGCTGCACACAAAGAGCCCAGCTTCCCCTCCATCACCACCTTCTTTCAAACTTCACTACTGTTGTTGGCAATTGTGTTTTCTTAAAGGTAAAAAAGTACTCCCACAGGCTAAGCAGGCACTAATAACTCAGAAGTTGGAAGCATGACTCCAATCACCACTCCAAAATACCCACACCTGAATCACCTCTGATAAGCCCCACAGGAGTTTTGCTCTGTCCCTCCTCACTATCCACTACGAAGTGAATACTTCAGTATTAAATACTTGCCAAACACCAGACACCAGCTACTATTAAGAAAGCAGTCTGACAGTCTGTTCTGCAAACGGAGTCAGATGAGATAGCTTTTAGTAGTGGTATTAATCAGAAAGCATTTATCTCTATTTCCCCAAGCCAGTCAGGAATGTGCAACATTGAATATACTGTATTTAGTAGTGG